TCTTAATAATTTATATAATTAATAATTATATAATTCATTTATATAAAAGAATTTAATTCATATATAGTTTCATATTAAAACTACTTTGTAAATTACTTATAATGAAAATATACACCATCATAATGTCTTTAATCCAGAACCTTAAAGCATTTCACAAACAAATTAACATTCTTTTGAACCAAGTACAAGTCACTGTGTAATATTTATCTGAATACTCACTCAATGCAGCTGCTTGTGAGTTAGACCACATTTTTAAGTAACAGAGGCATAACAGCACAATTTTAGAAGTTTAAAAAAAAAAAAGGCACAGTGAAGGTTGGTAGAATTACATTAATCAGCAGAGCTGGAAACTGGTTTCTGCAGTATGTCAACACCCCTTAACAAATGCCACAGGTCTCTGAAATATTTACGTTGATTTCCAGATACCTGAAAAGCCTCTTGGGATGATTCCAGGCATGCACAAATCAAGGTTCAACAAAGGTTCTCACAAGCTCTGTCATTCAGAGTTTTGAAAGAGATTTCTATTTTAACACTGTGCTTCTCTTTCCTGCTAACACGCTGTATAGGTAAACAAGGATTTGACACTAAGCTAGAAGATAGCCATGTTTGATGTTAATCCATACGCCACTTGCTGATCATCACAGTAGTCAGTAAGATGACAGTGTTCTTTTCTGCCACCTACTTGTCTTCATCAGACTCCTTTGCTTTAGCACCAGATAGGAAATGCATACAAATGTCCAAAAAGGCCAAGCCTTTTAAGGTACCAAGTAGTACCGGACACAAAAGCACTGAACTGCATCAGCCATCAAGCAGGAGTACAGATAAGAGCCATCCATACTCCTGACTGCCAGTCCTGTAACTGCAACCTAGATTATTCAGCCTTCAGATGAAATGGCCATAAAAGAAAGTTGTTAATTAAACTAATGAACAGGAATAGGCTGGAAAAGTGATACTATGACAGGTACAGGTCTGCCTCTAACAAATAACTGTATTTAAGTAAGATTCTGTGGCTTTTTTGACAATTTTTTGAGAATTAAGAATCCTTAACTCTCTGGTTTTTGACACCATATACAACATCAATTTAATCAGGGTTTGGAAAGAGCCTTGGAAAAAAAGAAAAAAAAAAAGGCTTCTTGGCCTTGATCATAATGTTTTCCAACCACCTCCTTACCTTCCTTTGCTCTACTGTTCCTTCAAGATGAAAGAGTAGACATAGTAAAACAGCTAGCTAAACAGATGAAGTGTAATTTCTTGGGAGCAAAAGAATGATTTTGAATTCCACAGGACTGCAGAATTTACATTCTCTGTTCCCTGAACGCTGAATCACAAATTGCAAAGCTCTGGTTCAAGATCAGTTTCTGGGTGAGGACTGGGATTTTGGGGGAGGAAAGGTATGGGCTGGTCTTGAATTAGATTCATGACCGGATGTAGGTGAGAGTGGGAGGTGGAAATATTTCTATATGAGTTTTCTTTTGTGGCCGATGAGACATTAAAAATTAAAAAAAAAAAAAAAAAAATCAAACTAAATCATTTTACTCTGATGCAAATATGACTTTACTACAGCCATTAAATAATCTTTCAACAAGTTTCCATTGTTTAAATGCAACGTGAAATACAATTTAAGTAGTTCTTTGTTTTTCTCATGGCACCAAAAATACTGTTAAAATCATTAAGATGAATCCTTAATGCTTATATGGCTGTAAAATGGATTTGATCTTGCTTTCTCTTAAAAAAAAAAAAAAAAGGCACACAGGCACACAAATAACCGTTATTTACTTAATGGGATCATGACTGACCCTTATTATTTTGAAACAAAATTTCCCAGATAGTCTTTCTGATTTATGCTTAACATTTCTGGGAACATAAACGTTAAGAATTTGTATAGCATACTGTATATTAGTATATCAAGCATTAAGTGCATGATAAATGGGTAAATCACTCCAAAAGCAATTATGTTCAAACAAGCGATTATTATTAATGTTATTAATAAACAAGAGCAATTGGAATTATACCATGCAGTAGTTAATCTGCTGTATCCTGAGACCCTTAAAAATCCTGAGGATTTACCCAAAATAAAAAGGTATTCTTGGCACCTGGAAACATCTTAGGGTTGGAAGTCTGATCACTCAGAATACCATAAAATGGCATAAACTGGCATAAACCAGCATAAAAAGGTCAAAGAATCACTCCATATATTTGATGTTTTGAAAATTTGATATTAAAGTAAAAGCATGTATTTATTTTTTCTAAGGCTGATATTCTGAAATCTCTTAGTTTATCTGCAGTAAGTTTTATGTCTCTTAAAACTGATAGACCCAATTTTTGTCTTTTTTACACTCTGAATCCACATAGTCACAACTCTCCCATATTGAGTGGAAACAGCTTCTTGTTATCCAGAAATCCAAAAATTAATAGCGCACTGTCTCAGCTCAGTAAAATTCTGTTGTCAGTAATGACTCAGATAATGGGCAAATACAAACATTTCTCCTATACACATCCCTAAACCTTACAATCCAGGATTCAGCACAAAGAACGTGGTCCGAAATTCCCAAGATCTTCTGACTTGCGATTCAGAGTGGACATGTGCCCTTCACATAGCTTAATACAGAAACATACTATTTTAACACAATGGAGGAATAAAAGATAATATGCAAAGATTTAATACTGTTTGTTCCATACTAAGTAATTTATAATATCAGGAAGTGTGGAGAAGGAAAAAATCTGAAGAATATTTTACACTTAGATTATTTTAGATGTAATTTATTTAAAAACACATTTTTCCCCCAATTCATCTGTTTGGATGTCAAAAGTAAGCTGAAGATATCACTCTACTACTGTCCTGGAATTTCATCATCACAATAAGCAGCAAATAAAAGAGCAAAAACCATGCTGAAATCTTAATTTTTTTTATTTTTCAGCCAGGGATCATATCAGTAATGGATCCCTTTCAGAAACCACACTCATCATCATCGCTTAGTGCAGAAAGCTTCGTGTTGCAGGAGGAGGAGAATGGAACAAGTGAGAAATGATGGGTTTCCATGTGTTTCAGAGCGTGAAATGCCATTCAGACTATTTAGCTATGCAGCTTCCGAATGGATGGATTTTCACTCAGAAATAACACAACAATATAAAAAATTAAAACCAGCCAAACAAAAGAGTCTCTATCCTCTGAAGAGCCTTCTCTTCCTCCCTGCCGAAATAGAGGTATTCTGCGATTCACTGTTATATCTACAGATGAAGAATGTTTCCTAGACACTCCAACGCAGAAGCCAATTCCACATGCTAATGGCTACAAGACAGGAATCTTACTGTACCACTGGAAGAATTCCCAAGTTAGGTAGCTACTGCTAAGAAAGCCTCCAAACCCATCCAATTCGAACCTACTATCTGACCTGGGAATAGCGTGCACAGCACTGTAGTCCAAATGTTCCAGTGATTTCTAATTAGCCCACTACTGCTTTGCACCACTGGCAGCTGGGCAGGCTGGAAGAGTCCCCAGTGCACTCCAGCCTGTGCGAAACCAAATAGGGTCCACAGAGTGGTACAACCCTTTGAATGCCGCGGACAAGGCATCAGTGCTGGGACACCTTGGCAGGCTGTCACATGACGGCAGCTCCCCCCGCTCTTGCAGACTCACAAAAGCTGGCACCTGAGCCTCCCATGTCCATCAGGAAAAGGCAATGCGAGGCAGAGGTCCTGCTTCCTGGTCTGTTCATCAGGCAGAGTCTGACCTGATCTGGACAACAGACATGACCTGCTGCTCGTTAATGCCTCCTTCCTATACCAAATGTACGTGAGTCACACCATTTAATGGGAAAAAACCATAGCAGTACTTACTGGACCAGTAATTGCCGGGTTCTGCAGTCTAGGGTCTTCCCACTGGGTAATTTTATTATCTGTAAATAACAAAAGAAATTATATCATTACTTAACTGTTACCACACTGTGAATTTATGTTGGTTTTTTTCTCCCTACAACTGTTTTCCCTACCATTTCCACAACTTAGTTTTTCAGGGTTAGAAAAGGCTGCATTCACCCATCTACGTCAAAACCCCATCACACTGTTTAGTTGAAAACACTCATTCAAAAATGCAAAACTACAACAGAATCCAGTGTATTTACACTGCTTTTATTTCAACATCTGTAGTAGTAAACATGTTCTATTTGAACATGGTCTTGGATTCAACTAATATTAGAAATACACAGACTTCATGCCTGAAAGGTAAAGGAACCCCAAAACTTTGTCAAATGACAGACTAAGTTTACTTTTTTGAAATTTTGCATAACGATAGCCAAAATGTAATACTTATAAAAGACAGTCTGTATTTAAATTTGGAGGGAATAACATCTCTTTAAAAAAAAAGTCCTAGACACTGATTTAATGAAAAGGTTATAGGACCATTAAGGGAGGCAAAATTATACAGTTATGGTATAAGAGATCATTCAGTTTTGACCAAAGGAGATTTTGGCAGTAACATGACAGAATCCAGTTCTTTTCATCTACCGCTTTTAAGAGCACCAGGAGGGTGCTATGGTAAGGTTATAGAGGACCATGGTGAAACTCTCCCTGCCTCCAGACAACTGCTCCTCACAAGATTCTGAACACAACAGAATCACAACAAAATGATGATGTTGCAACAATAAGACAATGCTCCAAAAACCAAACTAGATGCCACCTGCAACGGCAAGGTTTAAGTCATCCATTTCCTGCACTGAAAGGGTAATAATAATACGTCTGCTTGTTACACGCACTGCTTTATGAACTGTATATTAAGATAGTAGTCCAGATTTTAAGTTTTGTAATTGCTAGGTTTGGGAATAAACACACTAAGTTTCAAGAAAATTGTTTTTATGGCTACTATAAGTAAAAGCAAAGAACCAAACTCACTTATATTAAGACACAAGTATTTTCCATGTTTCTACAGTTGGAAAAGACCTGTAAGTCTTGAGCATCCCAAGCTAGTTTTAAAATGGACTGGGATTTGAAAGGTGACATTCATTAAACGTTAACTGAAGAAAATTTATAAAGATCACAAGCACATTTCAAGAAATTTGATCTATCAGTTAATTTAATATTAAAATACTATTTTATTTCCCTTTACACATTAAGTCTATTTAGTGCTTATCAAACTTATGGAGGAAGGCTGTTAGACTGACAGCTCCAGAAACCACGAGATCCACAGACCGGAGCCTGCCTAAAGGCATGTGCCTAATCTGGCCCTTTTCATCTTGCTTCAACCTGTTCAGTCAAATTTCCTTCTACAAAGTTTACTGGTTTTATACCAATTCATTTCTTATACCTACTTGAAACTGACAGCCACAAATCACGGTGAAAGTTTTCTATGAAATCAAAGATAATAGAACTGGAAATGACTGCAAGTTTGTCTATTCTTTCTTATTGCCCTACATACTTAAGAGTGTATGATGTTACTGAAAAATCTTTGTCTAAATTTTTTTCGAAGTATTACAGTGACAGGGACTTCATATTATAAATGCTATTCCAGGGCTTAAATGCCCCCAAAATTAGAAAGGTCTAACCTGAACTACTCTACCTGGAATCGTAGCTCAGGATTCTCTGTCTTATCCAAAGTGGATGTGGATAACAAATTCATTCCTTTTGCAGCACATTTTTGAAAATCTACCATTTCTTTTGAGTTTTCACACAAATAAAATACTCTGTCTTTCCTCATAAATCAGGCTCTAGGGCCTTTGAGGATTCCCTCTTCTCTCTGTTTCCTCTGGTCCCTTTCCAAGTGGTCCGCTATTTTCTTGAAGTTTGGGACCCCATGCCAGATACAGTATTATCATAGCCAAGACATTATCAGTGCTGATGAGATTAGAAGGATTACTTCAGGTCTTATTTAAGACACTCCTGTTGATACATCACAGGATGAGTTAAGTCATGTTCAGTTGATAATATTTTTCATGCTCTTTTCAACCACAATTCTGCTAATTATTCCCATTCTGAGTAATACTTTGCAATTCTTATTAAACAGCATCTTACTTCACACTACAGTGGCAATTTGCCAGACTCATTCTGATTTCTCATCCTGTTCCAGTGAGCACCTCTCACCTCTCCTATGCTGTTGTTTTCTGCTGAACTAATGAGTACATTCCCCCTAATTCATTGTTCAAATCACTAATGAATATATTGAAAAATGGTGGATCCAACACAGACTTTGAGGGGAATCCATTTAATATATCCATCCCTCTGTCAGTGAACCACTGATAACCGTTCTGCATATGGTTGGAAAACCTTTGTGCTTTTCTTTATGATACCTTCCAACAAGTAGATCATATTTTCCTGTAAGGCTCCTAGGAAATGCAGAAGTATATGCATGCTACGATGAATAGAAAATACTATTTTATTCATGGATGGTAAATAATGTTGCTTTAGCTAGCTAAGGACCAATCATGGAGAACTAGAGACTGTATTTTTTGTTAAAAGATTGACTGCTGCAGAAATTAGAACTGTTTACAGTTAAAATCTAAAAATATTATATTTTCAGGCTACTATGTTACAACTAATACCTAAATTATTTTAACAGTACTTTGCTTTACTGGTTTATATGGCATGCTTAATAGCAGTTTGTGTTGCTCCACTAGAGGAGGTTTCTGTGCTGGTTGCATTAGACTTTTTTACAGTTTCTCTCAGGGATGAGAAAAACATTTCAAAAATAGGACAACAATATTAATTATGCAGAAGAATTACAAAATATATCTGGGGAATCAGGACATCAGGACATTAATAGTAGCTGAATCTGTTAACACTTTCAACATTTATACTGTATTCTAATAATGAAACTGACTACATTTGTTGCATCTTAACTAATTGCTTTAGCAGAGAATGACTGAAATGATGGCCAGTTTATCATAGCAATGGACTACTGAGACTTGCATATTTAGGGTGAGCACAGCTGATCGCACCCGTGACTGATTTCAGCATATGCTCTCGAGTTCGTCATGAAACAAGTAAGAGTCAGCAGGCTCTGTCACAAACCTATCATTATGGTCAAGTGTCACTGCCCTTCCCGATACTGTGAAAACAAATGCTACTATTGAGATTGCTCAAGCCAAATCACTGAGCACTGAATGCTGTTTGCAGTCATTCCCTAAATACTGAGCACAACATTATCACAATGGAGCTGCAACGTGTGCACTGTAATACCACTGGCACCACCTCTTCTCCTAGAGTCCACTTGTAATTGTAGTGGTGTGGCACCAGATTGAGACCAAATGGATATTTGCTGGAAACAAGCAGCATTATTAAAAAAAACCCTCTAAAGTTATGTAAAAACTGCTGTATAAAAAGCTAAAAAACCCCTCAGATCAAGAGAGGGACTAGAGAGAGATTTCAGATGCAAATAAATTTAGTTTTATAACAATTATAAAGTCTTTGGGGAATTCTAATTAACATACAACTTTAACATTCCATTTACTTTTAGAGACTAACACATGCTTAAGTAGATTTAGGAGACTGAAAAATTAAAACTTTTTAAAGGAGGTTGGGAGGCTCAACAATTATACAGATATTTTAAATAAGACAGTTTTGTTCTGTGACTCTTCAGTGGCAGCAGTTTAGAATAATTTGCCATATTTAAGGTTCCAGATTATCTGTTGGGAAAAACAATTTTAAAGAATAGTAATTCTGTACTGATATTTGAGAGAGGTTAATCTTGTGCTTGACGAGTGTATTATTTCTAATTTTTATTTAAAACTATTTCTACAATTTCAAAATTTGTATTACTTTAGAGACAGTCTTTTAATAATAAGATAAGCATAGGAGTCAGTATTACTGGTACTGAAGGAAAAACATAATACTATCAAATATGTGTAATAGTCTAAGATTTTAATTCTTTATGTTTTGCATAGCATATCTACCCTCTTCTAATGGTTTTATTTGTTATCTATTTCTGTGAAGATTATGCCATCAGTAGAAATACCTCATTAAAAAGTGCAGCTGAAGTCTTGAGAAGGAGGAGGAGGAGGAGGAGGAGGAGGAGGAAGAGGAGGAGGAGGAGGAGGAGGAGGAGGAAGAGGAAGAGGAGGAGGAAGAGGAGGAGGAGGAGGAGGAGGAAGAGGAAGAGGAGGAGGAAGAGGAGGAGGAGGAGGAAGAGGAGGAGGAGGAGGAGGAGGAAGAGGAAGAGGAAGAGGAGGAGGAGGAGGAGGAGGAAGAGGAAGAGGAAGAGGAGGAGGAGAAGGAGAAGGAGGAGGAGAAGGAGGAGGAGAAGGAGGAGGAGAAGGAAAAGAAACAACCACCCAACCTTTCTGGGCTGCTTTGTTTTCAAACAACAACAAAAACTCACACAGTAGTTCTGAGATGCTGTAATAAGACAAGTCTACAATGAAACATCACTTACACTAGAACTTCATTAACAGAACTGAATAATATTAATGGGCTGGGTGCAGTTTAACATGCTATAAATAGGAAATAAGATCAAAATCAGCACTGCCACAAGACCTTCTTAAAGGAGAGGAAAGAGTACTTAACAGTGCTAATTTATCCACTGCCTATATGTGGAGTTGTGGCTATATGATCTTTTCTCATCTTATTTTCTATTCCTAGTGTATATTTTAATTTATTAAGTGCAAATAAGCCATGGGATCATCAACAACAACAACAACGAATCCAAAATATCAACAAGAACAAAAGAAACCACAAAGAAGAAATGTTAATGCTTCACAAGTCAGAGAGGGACAAAGCTTGATGAGCCAATTAAAAGCAAGCTTTCAGTGAATATACAGTACCGTATGAGGGCACTAAGTCTCTGGTATCAATGTCTCCACATATCAACACCTGGCTTCCTAAACGAAGAGTAAAATTATAAAGCTTTCACTTCAATATTTATTACGTCCCTTTGTCTATTTGCTGTAGTACCTGAGTGCTTACTTACTATGGTCTATATAAAATGTTCTTCCATCCAAATGTATTCTTTCCTCCCAACCAGGCTGGAATTGGGAAATAAAAAAAAAAAAAAAAAAAAAAAAAGAGAAAAAAAAAACCACTTTCACATAGCATGAAGTAATACATTATCCACACCTACTTAAATTGTCTGATAGATGCTTGTGAGGTAGAAAACACAAAATCACAGACGCATTATGCCAAGGCCAAAAATCTAGGAAGATTCAAAGAACTGGCTATTTATACAGGTAACTGTATCCAATACAGTAAATATTTTTTTAAAGCTTGGAAGTGGAAACTTCTTGCATCAGGGTTTATATCCATTTCCTACTATGAGGAAATGATCACAAAGAATAGACTGTCCATCATTGGTTAGATTTGAGAGTGTCTGCTTCTACTTCCAAAACACATGTGGGTTATTTACTGTAACTATGTAAGCCAGGATCCCATTACAGTGGGACAAGAATGTCTAACCTAGTCCTCAATTTTTCCCCTTTTATCCATTCCCTTTTCTCATCTTCCAGATGATTATAGTATAGAAAGGAGAATAAATGGCACACTGTTAGTATATGCAATGCTGTCCAGTCTAGCACTCATTCCACCTGTATGCTCTGCATGAGCTTCAGACTTCTATAAAATACAGATGAGAAATGATTTCATTTCAGTCTTTTTGAGAAACTCTTGTTAAATTCTGTAGTCATGCTTACCTCACTCAAAAATGGATTGTTTAACTGAGTTTAAATCTGTTACTGATAATATATTTCCAGTGATATGTCAGGCTATCTTGATTTCACTGCATGTTTTACCTCTTGCAATTAACAATAAATTGTAAATTGGCCCTTCAGTTACTCCCATGCAGTGCCTCCTATCCAAGCAATGTGTCCCCAAAGATTAATGCATGCTCAATGCATCTGAAGAATTGCAAAAGAACAGCTACTTCCACAGCTGTTTTCTTAAAGACAAATTGCATTACTGCTGTGTTGTAACCAGGAAATGCATCAAAACAAGTATGTTCAACTGTGCATAGTTTTCGATCTAATCAGTGATTCAAGACACTGGGCCTGACAAATGGCCTAGCTTGATTTAAATACAAGGCAAAACTTTTTGCTAATCATGACAAGGGCAGTGAGATTTTAGGATGTTTTAGAGGAGGATGTCTGATCATAGGTGGTGACAGAGGTTATCACCCCTCACCAAAGGTGGCATTTGTCACCACTCTTGCCCAAAAGCAGCACTCGTTTTGGTCTGCTGGCAGAGTGGTTCATCTAAGTAAACTACAACCCAGCTCAATGAAAATGAGTAGGATTAAAAACTTGTTATTCAAACTGTTTAAAACTAAAATAATTTAACCTGCCATGTCCTGTAAGGTGGGACAGTAGCCTCTTCTGCTGGCACAGCTGTTTGCAGACAGCTTGTCCGTAATACAGGCTGGAGCACTGAGAGTGCTGGTGACAATTAGTGGCTTGTGGTCACTAAGGTTTCCAGTGTTGCAAGTACAATTTCAATGGCAATTTCTCAAAAGTACGCTTAGTATATATGAGGCAATGAGCTGAATTAACACTATACCGTAAAAATCAGCACCTTAGAAAAAGTGCTTTCATGGACTAGTCTCTGCCATTAAGGATGCAGTTTTTTAAAAACAAAGCAAAGCTCTGTATTTGACATGGCTGTAAATCAATATTACACTTTGGTTACAAGTGTGACAAAACTTCTGATGTTAAAGTGATAATTTTCTCTGCAGAATATGGAAGTTTCATTGAAAAATCAAAATTTATTTAGATTTTTGAAAGCCAATATATGCTGGTACATTAATAGAGCTTGCTTTGAACAATCTGTTCCAGCAACAGGTAATTATCGAAAAGCACACAGTCAGAGATAAAACCAAGGTAAGTTTCTTCAAAGCTCAAAGCTTTAGATAAGCAAAGAAACATGCAATCATTTCAGAAATACTATGGGCTGGCTTCAAAGAGCCTGACTGATTCACAGATCACCGTAAATCTTTTTGGTGCTATATATAAACATAGCTTTAATTTCTTCAGAAAAGTGATGACAGCAACATATGTGTCCACATACAATACATGACTGCAATAATAGATCAGATCACGTAAGACAGCAGGTATATATTAAAATACATACACATTATCACTTACAGGAAGAGGGCCCAAATCATTAGGGTTCAAAGATGCTTTTGATCTCAAATGCACTGGAAATTTCAGTCGTGGATCCTCCTGTAACAGAAATATAGAATATAATAGAACTGTAAATCCAACATATCAAGTTAGATCTACGTACTAAGTCAAACACAGAATTATCTGGAAAAGAAATCTTCCTACATTACAGTTATTCTTTTTTTTTTTTGAGAATAAAACTTATAAAACAAAACATATAAAAGTGATAGAACATTTAGTATTTGGATGTGTCACATACTTTATTAGGATTCATATATTGAAATGATTTTTTTAAGTGTTAAGAGTTAGTTAGGGTGATGTAAGACTTCAACTCTATTAAGTGTGCTCTATCCAGAGATATGCTTCAAAAAATACAGCCCTATTCTTAGGAATGCATAAACTTATAAAACAAAACATATAAAAGTGATAGAACATTTAGTATTTGGATGTGTCACATACTTTATTAGGATTCATATATTGAAATGATTTTTTTAAGTGTTAAGAGTTAGTTAGGGTGATGTAAGACTTCAACTCTATTAAGTGTGCTCTATCCAGAGATATGCTTCAAAAAATACAGCCCTATTCTTAGGAATGCATGCACTCCCTTAAGTAGCATTTAAATACATATGCACATTTTTGGCTATTAAAAACATAAGAGAAATAAGCCATCCTATCACAAAAAGGCTTGAAAATGATGAAAATGAGCTTCTTCCATTTTTATTAATGCACAGGTATTATTACATCAATGTCCCAAATGAGGCAAAAAGGGGCAAGTAAGATCGGTCACAGAAGACAATCTAGACAAAAAATGCTTAAGATTTCCACACACATAATTTAGCCACATGCACCTGGGAACACCATTAAGAACCACCATTAAAAATATGTCGTGTAAATAGTGGTCAGTGGGAATCTGAATGATGCCTAACAAATTAAAGTGCAACTCATATTTCAATGATGATGTGAAATGCTGGGTCGTCTTTGACATTTTTTCCTAATGTAATTTTATTTCTTCAATTTGTTGAGCAAAGTTGCAGAATTATTGAAAAGTGGATCCTTATGACATAAACCAAATAATAAAATGGATTCTGTTAACTGAAGAAGATGAACATATATTATATTAATAAAAAAGCAGTACCAGTCACAGTGAAATACAATGCAATTATGGACAGTCTCAAACTAAACAACAATCCAAATCTGCATTGCACTGTATGCCTCTAAAGCTCAGATTTGGGGAATTTAAAGGACAGTACTGGTATGCAATGAGTTGTCAAGCATTAAAAGGTCAAATACAAAATGCAAAACACTATTGTATGGCATATGATGTACAAATGCACCAAAATCTAAGAGGATATGAACAAATAAGTTTCCTTTCTCTGAGTGCAGCAATGGCAGCACTATAGTCATTTCACGAAATTAGCTACTCAAGTTTATTGCTACTGTGTGTGACTGCATGGAGGGTTCAGTGAGATTCCTACATCAGTTCTATGAAAAGTTAGGCTGACAAATCCCGCCTTAAAGACAAGACAAATGCCACAATAAAATGAGGGGTATATAGGCAGGAAAACAGAGACAGAAACATTTAAAAGATGGCAACTGATTTAAAATTCATTATCTAGAATTTCTCTTACCCACGTAGTAGTTTTAGTATTATGATCAATGAAGAAGGGCCTGCCATTGGGTGCTATTCGCATCTCCCAGCCAGGAGGAAGGAAGCTTTGTGCAACTTTGTGTTGTGGTTTAGGAGAGTTGTAAGGTGAGGGCTGTGGAGACTGTGGATTGGAAAGGGTGTCCTTCACTGCTCTGCGCACAGGGGAGTCCTTGATACCCTGAAGAAAATGAAAGATATTAAGATTTGTCAAATGTCACTCAATACTGTAAAATGAATAAAACATGGTCATCACAGCAAATAGTTTTTCATTCCAGATGTAATTAATACTAGAATTAAGTGCTGGGACTGATTTCCTAGAACTGACTTAGCTGAAGTCTGCTCCTTATAACATACCAAGCTTTTTGCTGTGAAGGACACAGCGTTTTATCACTTCCCTCTGCAATGATAATGTCCACAGTATTTATACTTGATTATATATTTTACTGCAACTGCCCCGTACATGTCAATATTTCATTTTATGAAGGAAAAAATAAAAGCATTGCTTCGTGCTTCATGGTGCAATATATCTCACTTTACAACAAGAGAGGCATTGTTACCCACTTTTCAATGCATTTCCCGAATATAAGTTCAGATAAAACATTTAAATATGAAATTAAAACAAGTTCCTAAAATAAACGGAGGTTTGCAATTACAGATTTTGGACAGTTTGGGTTTTTTTTCTTTCTTTTTTTCTTTTTCTTTTTTTTTTTTTAAATAAATGAACGCAGCTGCAAAACTGCTTCACTGATCAATGCCTATTGGTTAAAAACAGGAGTTATGTGATGTGGCTTTTTTTTTTTTTTTTAATTTCACTGGGAAACTGCACATTTAGATGCCTAAACAGCTTGAAAAATTTGATCCAGATTTACTCACCTTTGAAAATACAGACTACCACAATCAGAAAACAAGACTTAAGTACTATGTTTAAATCTTGTTTGCATTTGTACTTGTCAGTTAACTTTCCAAAAACATGCTCTCATTAGCTGATAACAGTTTGTTTTCTTCTTGTTTTACTAATTGTTAAGATTCAGTAAATCCATGCATGCTTATTTTGGCAATTCTCTAACTTAGCCTACATTTAATTACTATTTTTTGAGTATTATGTTGAAAAATGAGGCATCAACATGGATATTTATAAAATTATTGTAGCCTTATTTGTGGCCTGTTTTGAGCTGCATTTGGATGGAAAATGCAGTTAGATTACAGTGTTCGAAAGCAGCATTTAAAATAGCTTGCATTAAATAAAAGCTTTCCATATGTCTTATACACAAAAAAGTTGAACATTTTACAATAAAATTACTATTTAAACAAAGGAAGTAACTTCTAAAAAGTTGAAGTCATTTTTTTCTTGCGGTT